ATAATAACAGCGAAAGTCAAAAATAATAAAAGTACTCCCTTGCCAATACTAAAGTTGACGTTTTGACCACTAGATTATGGCCAACATACGCAAGTGCCCACAACAACATCGGTACTCTAGTCTCCGGGATGGATAACGCTGAACACCATTTTCTTCAAGCCATCAAGTACAATAAGTACCATGTCAATGCGCATTATAATCTTGGCAAGTTGTACAAGTAAGTATTTTTAGTCATTTCCAGTGCTCGGACTTTTTTTAACGTACACACACATAAGGGACACCCTGTGTCGCGGGTGCCGTGGACACAAACATAGACAACCACAAATTACACCCAAACTCACGAGATAAATAAATGTAGGCCATACAAATATTTCTCCCGGCTCGGGAATAGAACCCGAGACCTCTTGCGTGGCAGTCCAGCATGATAACCGTTCCGCCAAGGAGGCAGTTAATAGTAAATTGAGTTAAGTTATCTAAATTTTGGACGTTTTCTTAGTATGGACATACTCATTTCGTGATATGACCAAAAAAAATTTCCGGGATTCATATTGTAACAACGCATACGAACTTAGGCCACGAATAAAATTAATACAGGCATATTCAGTTTTATTTATATATATGGATTCATTATAATAATTACAATATATAATACATACGGACTTACTAACGTAATTGTTCTCTCAAAGAAGAAATCACATTGTCAAACAATAGAAACCGCCAATATTTGGCAACGGCAATGGTTTCTATTGTTTGTCTTGTTTTATTTTCGTTCTGTGTGAAAGAGACCGTAGTTACTTCTTTCTACAGCGAAATGTGCGTGCAATGCGCTCTTGTAAAGTTTTTTACTGGACAGGTACACCTCTATAAACACAATTATAATATTATTTTTTGAAACAATTATTTGTAGCAAATCTCATTAAATAATACGCATATTCAAATATAATCAGTTTCGAGAAGTTCTGGAATTTGTAGAAGGAGAATGTCCAGATTATTATTTACGTTACTGAAATTTTAGGTAAATTTAACTCCCACAATTTCGATCTCGAGTCATTTCTCATGTTGCAAAGACAGGAGATACTAAAAAATATTTAAGCAACACGTATGTATAGAATAATGAATATTGCAAACACATCGGAGCCCTCTAAGGTGGTGGCTTATAATAAGTGCTTAGCTTTTGGGCAAATTTCGCATTGAGTTACAACCTATTTGACTGGCTGTAGCACACACAATCTTGTTTATTTAATTTCTTGTTGTTTGTTTTTATTCCTTTAATTGTGATTTCTGTGTTTCTATATTGTAAACGTTTTATCTATCTATATATCTATGCACATCGCTTTTAAAATGAGCGCTTCGTCCGCGAACTAATTAAAAGAACTTCTTTGCTTCTTCTTGCTTGCTTCTCTTTTTTTCTTCTTTCTTTTTCTTTCTTCTTATTTGTTTTTCAAAAGTAAAACAAACAAGAATCAATACAAAAAAACGACTCATCCGGAGAACAGAGTCCGATGTGATTATATAGCGAAAAGAGAATAAGTACGTTACGAGAATAATTTCGGTATTCAAACTAAGGCCTATGTAAAGGAGTTTTGAATATTTGAATATTATTTCGTTTCGGAAATATGAAATCCAACAAAAGTCGATCTGACATCCACAGCGAAGAAGAACGAACAAAATGTGCTATGTCCTGAGAACAAATAGTCTTGCACTTAGATCTTTGTTCTACGGATGAGTCGAAAAATATTTATAATCACGTGAAAACAATACATGAGTAGGTCCTATTTTCATAGTACTAACTTTAACTAAAGGCTTTTTTTGCCAGAAAAAGTGGTCGAGCAACTCAAGCAATATCGATGCTGGAGAAATGCATTTGGCTGCAGCCACGATTTGTGCAAGCGCTGGTGGAACTTCTTACCCTGACTCCAGACTGTCAGAAGCAACCACTTTTAAGGAAACTTTTGGAGCTAGAGCCGCTGAATTGGGAGCATTATGTGCTTTATGGGAACTGGTTCAGAGAGAAAGGTTAGTACAAGAAACTTAAATGAATAAAGGATTAATATCCGTGTAACAATCTTCCAGCAATGTAATGTTATTGTAGGGTTTTATATTTAATGCTTCTACGAAAAGCAATGTCATGAATAATTTTTTGTTTCTTTGTTTTTAAATAATAGTTTCCTTTCGTCCCATAGTACAGGACCAACATGGAACATTAAATGAAACAAGCTAATTAGAATACGTTTCTATTATTTTTAGGGTTACACAGTCCAGCATCTAATTTGTACCTAGAAGCAATACGACTGAGTTTCAGAACACGAACCGTTGCGCGCCCCGTACGGTCAGACTTGATTGCCTTAAGATCACTGGCGTTAATGTATCGCTCATTGGGTCAAAGATCACGTACTTTACAACTGCTAACGAGGTAAGTGGCGTTAAGTGCGCAAAGAGGCGAAGAATGTGGTTGTTGCAACACAATATTTCTCCGATTATTTTACGTACGTACCTATCGACACAAGTTCTTTGAAATTGGAACTGTCCACCAGGCTTTGACTTTAATTGTATTTGATTATAGCAATGAAAAACTTATGTGAAATCATGTAGTATTGAAGTTCGTTCTGAATTGTCTGTAGCAATAAGAGTATCGACACATAACAAGAGATCCGTAATTGCAAAAATGTTGTCACAACGAATGCTTGCAATATTATTGCTCAAACATAAAGCGCATCTGTTGCTTTCATCCTATAAACTTTGATGACAACGACTTCCTAGGAATAAAGAGCAATCTCCACTACATTGGAGATAGAAATTTTACATTTACAGCATACTATAAAGTTAAGAAATAAAAACCTAATCAAATTGTAAAGGAACACAGGAAAAGCAAAGTTACGATATTATTTTATTGTTTTATATCTTTTTATGTTTTTAATCAGAGGTACATCGTATTGTGATCATTAAAGTATGCCGCAAAATTGAAGATATTGTATTTATGTACTCATATTTTACTTACTTATTAAACATGACAATATTACTTTAGTTATTGTCAATTTCTACGAGAATGTTATTACAGATGGCACACTTGGCGACGTGGTTGGCCAAGCGCTGCTGCCACTCATCTCTATTTACGAGACTGGAGACTTAAGATGGAGTTAGAGGGACGAATCCAGATTTACTCGAAGGCTGTTAATCCTACAGTGAGTATTGAATAAGTTATGAAGAATTTTGAAGAAGATAAGCTAACCTACATATTTAAAAATATATAAAAATTATGCTTTCTAATTATTTTGTTCACAGAAATCAACAAGATGCTTCGATCACTCACAACTAGCTGTAAAAAGTAAAGAAGAAAAAAAATCTAATAAAGAATCTATTAAAACAGAACAATTTGTGAAAAGTGTAACGAAAGACAATGTTAAAAGTGATAGTTGCTGTAAATCTTGTGGGACCAAGAAAAGGATATCAATATCATCACAGATTAAAACTACTCATAATAAATCGGAAATAGGGCTGAAAGAAAAGAAATGTACATTGCATAGGAAAGACAAGAATGATAAGAATGCTAATGTTATACCGAGTATTGGAGCTCCGCTGGCTGAACACATTCTTATGAAAACGTACTAGTGTGTTTAAGTGCTTCCGTTTGCCGAGATAGCGTAGAAAAAACTTGAAAACTTCACATGGGTTTGTCTTCTCCTAACATAAATATGAATTTAATTAAAAGGATATCAAATTTTTTCACTAACGACTAGTGAATGTTTTAATGTTTTAATCTAAAATTATTAAAATGAACTCAAGTCCTAACGAAGGAGATATTAACTTTTACCAGAAAATCATTCACAGACTTTCTGTTACTGAGAAACATCTATATTATTATTATTCAACCCGCTCATGTGACACGACATTATGTGAATATTTTCTATGTTACCTTGTCAAGGTTGCAGGTGTGATACAGTATGAAACGTGGAAAACTTCATGCTTGTGATGGTCAGATTCTAATTTGTATGAATGACATTAGTCATAACGCTGACAATATCGCAAGTTTATTGTAATTTAAATAAATAAGTTATGCAAGTATCGTGTTTAGAAATCTCATTTTGGGGGTTTACAATAAACAAAAGAAACAGTTCTTTGGTAAATGATGGTTCTAGGGAACCACGCTAATTTGTTTGAACAATGTTCAGAAAGACACGCAAATTGATTTGAACTTTACGTACAATTTGACATCGTTAAAACATAATATGTTTAATTGCATGGAAACCCATCCAAAAGATGAGTGACGGACGCCAGATGGTTCATCAGAGAGAAAGCGATATAAGGCATTAAAGTAGACCTATGTCCAACCATGGAAGGATGTATATACATCCAATCATACAATGATATTATTACCTTTTTTATTTCAATTCGTTAAATTATTAAAATTTTTATAGTAATAATTGATAGTCTATAGCTTAACGCAAAAAGTTAAAGATTTTGTGTCACTTCTTGTTGTATCATCGATAGCATAAAATGTGATGCTTTCCATCGTAGTGAAAGAATTTGCCAATCGGCATAAGATACTCGCTGATTGCTGCCCAGGATGCACTAGACGTACAAGAAAGGAATATGATATCGTACGGGGAGGTTCCTTTCGTGTACTCTACTGTTTTTGTCACTAAAATGGATGGCCTGTTCATTATTTTTGAAATAACTAATTTTTGAATTCTTCAAGTTCCCTTGAAATTTCTAAGCACGATAACATTAGATAGTCAACTAATATACGATTTGTAGAAAGAAGATTATATTTTTGTCAAAAGTTAGGATGGTTTTGAAGCACAATGTTTTTACGCTAGACCTAGAAATGTGCCATTTTAGATGTATGAAGCTTGGCCTTAAACAGTAACAAGTGCTTGATTGTGAATGAAAGAAGGTTTTATATGACATGAATTCATTTCTAGTCATAATTTCTATAAACCACGTGTATTCTTTAGGTTTCTTACAAACAGTAAGAGTTTTCAAATTCTCTACAATTCTTTTATTTTTCTATAAATTTCTTCAGTAATTGTTATCTTAATGTTGTTTCTCTTGATCATTTAAAATTTCTTTTAAAGTTCCTATTTTCAATGTCTAGTTTTTCCTTTCTACAATATATTCTAAGGATGAAACTCTGTAACTTTTGTATATTATTAATTGTCACATTTTTCATATTCATTGTTATTAAAATATACATCATTTAACCAAAATCTCATGTCGACTACCATAACAATAAGTTGTATATAATATTTTTAAAGAATAGACATAAAGGCACATAAAAATGCTTTGAATGTACTGAGAAATAAAAGATTGGAGTACTCCGTGTATTTTCTTTCGCCCTCTCGTTATATTTCATATTATATTTACAGAACAAATTAAATCTGCACCACTCTTGAATTATTTCAGAAATCCCAAAATAGCAAATTATACATTGTTACATTTATCGCCAAAACTCTCATATAACATTATCTTAATTGTGCATACACTAAAGAATCTTTCATTGAAAATTGAATATAGCACCTGAAAATGGTACCAAAACTTTTCCAATTTTACGGCGGGCCACATAATTGTTCTTGACCCCAGACGTAATCCAAAGTAATAAAGAAGTGGTCATAGTAGGTACCCAATTTTAAAGTTACGCATCGAATCAAACCCCTGCTTTCTAAGACACCCAGAGAGCAAAGGTAAGGTATCGGTATAGGTAAGGATCTTCATCGGATAAGATATCAGCTGCCAAACAAAACGTATTTTGGGCTGAATGGGCTATTTTTATAGAAAATTTAAAAATGTTTTTATTAATACAACATTCCTGTCAAAAAAATGTCCTTCGGTAGTATGAGTGGTTCCAAGAAAGTTTACTTCACACTTATTTGCCACTTTGCATTGACGCACATTCTTGCCAGTTCTAAAAATAAGATAACTGCTATATATAAATATATATTTTGAACTATTTCAAGCTGGAAACTATAAGAAAGAAACATAGACGGGTGGGCTACAACAAATGTAATTTCTGAAGGCTAGCAGGCTGCGCGTAGCGAGTTGTATCACATAATAATATCACGTAATATAATATCTATACAGCCTACTTTATACGAAACTGATACCAGGCTATTGTATTTTAAATGAATCGTTTTTCTTTTATACCGTTTTTTCGTATGATTTACTTACCTTTAGACGCAACTGTAGACGATATAATCAAAGCATTAGAGATACCTGTAATAAACATAAGATCCTAAGTTACTATGATTGTACCGAATAGTAATTTACTATTGAATCTGAAGTACGCCAATACTACTGTAGCCTAGCCATAACCCCGCAATAGGGAAACCTTGTACTGTGGGTGCCATGGACACACACATAGACAACCTAAACAAAGACAAAAAAACAACAAATTACACTAAAACTCACTATTATTATTATTGCATGAGATATTAAATAAAAGAGGAAAAGTTTTTTTAATATATCATGGACACACGCTATGTTAAGCGACGATGTGACCGACGACAGGACGCGTTTGCCTAAAATATGCCTATTCACGCCAGCTTTGAAGAGCCCCAAATTGTACTTTTCGGGAAACACAGATGTCGGTAGAGTATTCCATTCCTTTGCCGTACGCATCAGAAAGGAGGAAGCAAAGCACTTAGTGCGAATAGGTGGTATATCAACTACACAAGTATGGAGTGTTCCGGACCTTCTAGTCGACCGAAAGTGGAACGACGAGGGTGGAACTAAATTGAAAAGTTCCTGCGCACACTCCTCGAAAACCGACAAGCAGGCTACTTTTCTGCGATGATCGAGATTTTCTAACTTCGACTCCACAAGAGAATTGTTGTTAATAAATCTCTTTGCTTTTCGCTCCACCGAGTCCAAGGCAGCTAACTGGTAATGGGCAGAGCCATCCCAAAGGGGGGCAACATTACTCCATATACGATCGAACTTGTGCTTTATACAGATTTAAAAGCAGTTCATGTGTGAAGTACCGCCTGACCTTATGCCTAGTTTTTTGACAGCAGTTTTTGCCAAGCACTCAAGTTAGGCCCAAAATAGCCTATATAACTGCGGTATATATTGTTCATTATATGTTATACGAGCCCTATATCCCACCTACGGTGGGGTCGAGCTTGGCCTGCGTCACGTGGTTGGGCTTAGATTACGGGGTGTGCTTATGCTCTTCGGTGGCACAGCGGTTAGTGCTATGGGCGCTTGGTGAAGAGGTTCCGGGTTCAACTCCCGATTTGGGCCAATTTAGGAAACTAACATTTCGAAATTGATTCTGGTCTGTGTATTCTGAGTATTGCCCTCGGAGATATCGTTACTGTGGTTACTCATAGTACAAGATATTCCCTAACTTGAGAAAAGAAATTTGGTGTGATTGTCTGGTATTATTTCTCTAAATACGTAACCTAAATACTTCTCTTTAGTATAGCTACCAAGAAAAAAGAATCTAAGAGAGAGACGGTTAAGATACAACAACGCTATAAATATGTCATTTCCACTACATCGAGAAGTGTTCCTTACATTTTGAACAATTGTGAGATCTTGTACTCGTAATAGAGCCTCCGCTTACTACCTAGGTGGCGTATGGACACTAGACGTCGGCATACGGCCTCGGCACTTAGGACTTTGTTTTAAAAAATTAACATGGCTATCATGCGCAAAAAAAGCGCATCAATATTATACAGAGTGCGTGGCAGCAGCCACAGCGTGCTGAGGGAGATGGCTGACAGTGGGGACTGTCCACTGATCGGCCACTTGCTGAGAAGGACGAGGTCACTTTTAGAAATAAAATACTAACATACTCACTAAGTTTGTACTAACAATTTATGGATCACGGTTGTCTGAAATAAATACTTTTTATTTTATTTTTATTTTATACTGGCGGCCATGTTGAAAAATGGCAAAAAGTAAATTTTGACCGGAAATTGTTATTAAAAACTCATAAAGAACCTCACATACCGATTTTCAGTCGAATTACAGCAAATTTTTATCTGCCACCAAAAAGTTTCTATGGCAGCCCAATTGAAAAATGGCGAAAAATAAGTTTGGATCATAAATTATTAGTTATTAGAGTCTGTATGGGTGTTTACCCATACAGACTCCGACACGCCGATTTTCAGTCGAATTAGAGTAATTTTTTATCTGCGGTCAAAAAACGCTCGTATTGCGGCCATATTGAAAAATGGCGAAAAACTAATGTTGATCACAAATTATTATCAAGTTCTCCTAGAGACTCCCCCATGCCAATTTTCAAAGGAATCAGACCATTTTTTTTATACCGCCAACGAACGTTTGTAAGGTGGCCTGATATTTGAAAATGGCGAAAAACCCAATTTCGAGCACAAATTATTATCGATACTTCTAGAGGCCTTCTCATGCCAATGTTAAGCCGAAACAGAGCAAGTCCCTTTCGGCACCTATTTTTAACGAAAAAAAACGCTAATGTGGCAATCATATTAAATAATGGCGAAAAATTACTTTTGAACGCAAATTATGATTAAGGACTGCTAAAGATCCCCGCATGCCAATTTTCAGCCGGATCGAAGCAAGTTTAAAGAGTAGCTTTATATACATATATATATCAGTCTATGGTGAGCAGGGTATATTTCTCCCAGGTATTGTAAATAAAAAGATCCAAGTAACAATTACGATGGTGTAATGTCCAGCACAAAGGCACAATGGACAAAAACATGAGCACAAGCACTGGCACGGATACGCTATGGCGTAGGGAAAACAGTTTGCGAAACGTCAGAAACGTCGTAACGTTTTATTTTAACTGCCTCCGTAGCCAAACGGTTACCTGGCCGGACTGCCATGCATAGGTCCCAGGTTCGAGTCCCGGGCCGGGAGAAATATTTGTATGGCCTACATTTATTTCTCTCGTGAGGTTGGGTGTAATTTCTGGTGGTCTATGTATGTGTCCATGGCACCCGCGACACAGGGTTTCCCTAGTACGAGGCTATGTTGAGTGTGTACGTTATTATTATTTATCGTTGGACGACCGTCGCGTCTAGGCTGTTCCCATATCACGACTATCTGTCGTGACTGTGTCGTGGACTTTTTTATCGTTGAACGACAGTTGTGCCTAGCTGTTCCTACTGTCCTTTCCTACTGTCCTTTCCTACTGTCCTACTGTTCCTTGTGTTACTACACAATTTTAATAGTAATCGACATGAAGTTCTGCAAGAAGGAAAATAAGATGATTTGTGATTTATGAGCACGTCTTCTCGTTTCTAGAATTGTAATGGGAGTTACGACGGATAGAATTAAAGTAATAATAGTGAAGGAAAGGGAATTGGACAACGATTCAAAAATTATAGAAAATAAGTGGCCAGGCACCAGAAAAACGGATGGTAAAAAGATGACACTGCTATGCAATAAAAATGAGTAGGG